GTATCCAATACCAAGGCCATCACATTATACACGAGAGGCAATTTAGATCCTTTTCTAGTGGCTATAAGATAGCTCTATCTTTTACTTGAATGGAAAAAATTAATTACATTGATACAAATTATTGCTTTCCTACTTTAATAATTCAGTAATATACATATTTCCTATTTTACTTGATCGTCTTCAACAAAATCTGATGCTAAGTGCCTGTAAGAGGGGGTGGTGTGAGTCTTTTATCCTTGTGGCTTCCTTTAATTGATAAAGGAGTGTTTTAGGGTTAAAGGTTCGGATTCTTGGTCATATAGATGGGTACAATCCTATTTTCCGTGTCTGAGCCCCAAATTTGTAACGTCTCCATTCTTGGTGCCATGGATGCAGTTTGAGAAAGCAATAAAGGAAGTTGGGTATTTTATTAAGTTTTTCTGTAAATTTTTTAAGTTCGATTTGTGTTTGGTTCGATATTTTGTATATGAGTCAGTCATGCTACGAGTACACCTTGTTTGATATTATTTTTGACATTGTGCCACATATATCGTAATATGAGTAGACAGTATTAAAATAAAACACACTTTCCCGTCCATTTCAATTTGAAAATCAATGGAGTGTCAACTATAATGTAAACAAAAGAATGTACAGATGACTTATTCCAATAGTTTATAGTTGATCCTACAAAGGAAGGAGCTTTTAGGGTTGAAGGCTCTCCCTTATGCTTTTTCCAATTTTGTTGTGTAAGATAAGCCAATGCCATCCCTTTTTCCTTTGAGGCGCTTAGGATCAGCAGAATACATTCTCTAGTAGAAGAAGAAGAGACTGTATATACTATATAAATGCATAAATGATATGCATGGCATCCATGGAGCTTTGCTGTGCCTCCTGGTGAAATGGTGGTCGCATCCAATAATCCATAGCAGAAACAGCAGTTGGGAATAGGGGAAGCATCAACTTCAATAATCCACCTCAGTCCTCTGAATATCGAATGGAAGGAGATTCAAATTGATTGTTAGTGGACGAATGCCATTTTTCTGCACCGCAAGTGAGGAACACTGTCATTATTCATTTATTTTATTTTTATCTCAACAAATTTTCAACTTATAGGATGTTGTGTTCATAAAATGAAATTTTGTCTTTATGTTTAGTTAAAAGAAGTGTAACATAATCACAAAAAGACAACATTTAGAAGAAAGCCAACCACCCCTGAATCTATTATAAGGTTTTAATTAATGATTCTCACTTTTTCGAGTGTTCATCATTTTTTTTTTTTTGAATTTATTTTACTTTATTGAATTGCTTTCATATTTAATGTCACAAAAACGAAGATCATTTAACCTTTCTAAAACATATAAGATCTGATTCTTTCTACTAAAGAAGATTCCACCTTATATAGCAAGAGCGCATAAATTTAGTAACTAATTGTGTTCGAATTGGTCTCTTCCTTAGTCAACATCCGTATATCATTTTCAATCACAAATTATTTCCTCGAAAAAAAAGTAGAATAATTTTAGCCCCTTTTAGTAGGCTACTGGGCAACAGCCTTTGATGTCTTACATACGACTTTTCGCAGATAGCACCCTTAAGTTACCATAATATCATATTCAAGGATAACATTGATACGTATTGACTAAATCCATAGCATGATAAAACTTAGTCCAAGTATACGTCATAGCATGCTTTAATCTCCTATGATATGATACGATACTTGGATATTTCTTTGTTCATTTCTGTAGTCCTTGGACTTATACGAAGATTCAATTGTCACAATTTGATATATATAGGAGTATCAATAGGCTCTAGTTAGAAATGTTCTAGAATCTTTATGACGTACAACACTAGTGGAATATTAATTTTAACACAAATTATATAATTTGCTAAACTTATGTCTGCTTTAGGCTAAATGTATATAAAAAAGTTTATTGCTAAACTCATTAGATTTTCGCCCAGATTTCAATATTCTCAAAAAACTTTAATGTTCAGCTGGAACATCTACCAGATTCAAGGTTTAGTTGGGTTTTCTATACTTTACCGTTACTTCCATTACTTGCATCATTTTTTTTTTTTAATAAAGAAAAGAGTTTTTGGAAATCAAGTTATTTGAAAATGGATCACTCCCACTTGAATCGGATGCTAAAGGCAACTCATGTGCACTTTAGCTAATTCTAACAAATAATCTCTGAATCCTTTCTAACTTACTAAGAAAAAGTCAAATATCACATCTAAATATCTACATAAAATTTCACTTACAAACAAGTATCGACCCTTTGGATCTGTTTACCTCAAAAAATGAAAATTATTTTTTAAAAGAAACAACAAGTTTTTTAACAGGATTTTTCCTTTCCGGAGGGAGTTTAGGCTTACGTTTTAATGAGTATTTTAGAGAATGAAGAAGGATGGTTTTTCTAGCATTATATTAGCCGAAAAAGCACTTCAATTGGAGAATGATAAGATTTGAAGAATTTTGCCTTGATCCAAGGCAATTTTTTTAAGAGAGGAAAATGGATGTTACGTATTCTCAATCTTGAAGACTTATCTCTTTTATCACATTTTTCAGTTCTCCTTTTCGTTGTGTAAATGACTCTATTTATAGACAAGTTTTGAGGGACTCTTGGCCATTTTCATGAGTTGAAATTCATGATTAAATTCAAGTTCCAATATTCTCATTGTGGTTTTTGTTTCAGTGACATTTTACAGCACTCACATTAATGTTGATGGTGTCCAAGGACAGACCCACATGGGGTCATGTGGGGTCAGTTGACCTTGTAGAATTTTCAGATTATTTTTTATTTTTATTTTTAAGTTATCCAAACATCGCAAGTCCAATTAAACATAACATTGATCCATTGTCTGCCTGTCTATCTGTCTATGGGCTGCCATTTGCCAAGCCCATTTGCTGATTTGCACACAGGCTCAGTAGTAATTAATGATATGTTATTTTAAAAAAAATTATATTTCAATTTTTGACCTCACAATACCAAATGTCTAGCTCTGTCCCTGATGGTGTCAAGCTTTGTTATTAAATTAGCGTATATGTTCGAGGATTCCAATTTGTCATGTAATACCACGATTGGGGCAATTGTCAAATGCTTGCTGAACGACACCTTTTTCTAAGGAGAGCCTTGATGGATGAGGCATGAGTTTGGCTTGTTTTCTTCAGCGGCCAAGGTATAAGTGCTCCAATGGGCACCTTTCGTGGCGACATGGTGGAGCCCAGGTGGACAATAATTATTTCATCATGTAACTTTTGTCCACATTCGAGTTTTATATTCATGTGAAATGAAGGACTTCAATGTTTTGTTGATTCTAGGGTTGAAATTTTGTATTGCTATTTCGATTTGATCATAATATTGCTTCATCTATTTTATTTTATTTTTTTATTTTTTTGAAATATTATGCTACACGGAGCCCGAAGCAAAATGAGAAGGCTTATATTGAAATTGAGGCCTTTAAACTAGATAGAGATTATCGCCGATAACTAATATTTCGACTCCGTAGGTATTCTAAGGAAATATGTATTATTAGAGAAGTTCGATATCTATGTAATTTTAACCTTCTTGTTTAAGTGCCCCCAACAATATTTGAAACTGCATTGTAATGCTGCACATGTCTTGCTTCTGCGTCGAAATACAATGAATTCGTGAACTAAAGTTAGATGGACGGTAAGGTCTCAATGCTTATGAACATTTGCTAGCATCAACCCATTGACCAATGTCAAATGTGACTTGCATCCCCAAATTCCATCATTTGATGTGATGTGGCCATCATGTAAATATAGCATTGTCATGCCTCCATTTCTCGCATGCGTTGCATTTTCAAATCATGTCTTGCTTCATTGCACACCAAATTTAAGCATTGTCCATACATCTCACTATGGCCGAACAAAACTCCCAAACAAAATCAAATCGAATCGGACCGACCCGAACTGAGTGATTCTTCTTTAGTTAAATATTTAAAAGGATATCTAAATCGAGAACTGATGGATTTGATGCGGTTTTCGATTCTATACCCAAAACCGAATAAGGATCAAATTTTCCTAAATTTTAATTTCTTTATTTTAAGTAAGTCAAGTTATTATTTTTTTTCTATATAAATTTGCTAATTTATTAGTTTAGCTCAAATCCAAAATATGATTTTCCTATTTCTAATTTTCAACATTGCCCAATTTAATCAAATTGACATAAATTTTACCCAAATCTATTATTTTACCATGGTGTCGTTTCTACAGTTCTAAAAAAATCAAAGTGAAAGCCCAGCTATTCCTCTTTTCATTATTGTGAGCTAGTCATTATACTCTTTCTTGTAATTGTAACAATTAAGAGCCTGTTTGGGGCTCATTATTGGTCCAAAAAAATGAAAAATCTTACTGTTGAAGCACACAAATCCAAGGCATTGTGAGAGAGAAGTCAATAGGTGGGGCTTTTCAACGGTAAAAAATCTTCTAATAATGCAGAAATAATGTGCATCAAACAGCCTTTAAAACTATGAAGAATTCAACAACTATTTTATGGAACACATGAACCGAATGGAACGAACATGAACTATATTTAAATTTAGACTCGAATTATCCACTTACTAAATTTCCAAAAATTCAAGTTCGATGCTTTAGAACCAAATAGAGTTGGATCATATCCAGCGCTACATCTCGGACCCCTTGGACCACAACATGGCATCCAGCAAGACATTTCGTGTCAATTCTATTTTCATGATTAGGGTCCTTGCAATAGTATAGATTAGGAATAATCTTATTTTAAGCTCTCGTTTGACCTCATTACATTTTTCAATCTCATATTTTTAATCACACAATTTTTCATAAAATAATATTATATGTAAATAAAAAAAATTTTCTTCCTTTTCAATCACTCATTTTTTTTTAAATATTATTCCACCCATTTTCATTTCCAAAAAAATGGGGCAAGGCTAATTTCATATTTTGTTAAATACCATTTTCAAACTTACTTTTTAAAAAATTTTCTTGAAAAATTACTTTCACAGTTTTACTTCACTATCACCCTCCCATGGAAAATGGAAAGCCAAGACACGTTACATGCATCTGAGACTCTCCGTTCTACGCTCTTGATTGTTACAAAATCCGTTATGTGTGGATCCAATCCATGTGTCGCTAATTTAGAAAATTTTCCCCCATGCATTAATGTTTATTTTATTGCTCTCCTCATAATGTTCATCTTAAAATCTCATAAATTCCAGCCTTTTCGTGTTATTGGTTCATCATTAATTCAACATCATGGCCATTTTTAACCCGTTTTCTTTTACCTATATTCTCCAATCGAATTGAAACGTGAAGGCCCTTCTATTTGTATTCTTTTGATCCCTTAGTGTGTGATTGTGGGCTTGTTTTGCTGTGATTTTGGAAACGTTTTTGTGGGTGACCAAGAATAAATATGGGTATGATAAGCACTGTAATGGGATTTTTGGGGTTCGGGGTAGGTACCGTATTTGGGCTTGTGATTGGTTATTTCCTCTTCATCTACTTGCAGCCAACTGATGTTAAGGTAGAAATTTCTATTTTCTATTTTGTTTTTTTCTTAGAATTTCTTGCTTCCAAATGCTGCTATTTAGTTTTCTTTAATTTAATTGATGAATTCTATGCAGTGTATTTATACACAAAGTGAGGAAGCATCTTATAGCTTGTGTTGCCTTTTCATGGGGAAATTTGTGTACTTAATTTGATAAATACATCGTTTAGTATAAGACAGGACTGGACTTCTCTGTGTAAAATACAAGATATTAGCTTATTTTACTTCCTAAATACTGTCCAATACAGTCCAGTCTGTATGGCATATTTGAACATAGGATGAGTATATGGAATATGCCACAGTGCTACTTATGTTTCATGTAGAGGGTGATAAATTATACACTTAATTCCTAAAGTTTGTCCGAAACGAGGAAATGACAAAGAAATATACTGAATGCTTTTAAGCTTTGTTAATTTGATTTAAGAACTTGAGGCTTGATCTCAAATTAAAGAGGCTTATCCTCTCCAAATTATGCAAGAAGTTTGTTAAATTAGGAAGAAAACTTTGAAGTTTAAGGCCTCGACTTGAAAATTTGGTAAGATTTTTCACAATATTGATCAGAAGAGAATTTTTTTTCTCACTGCTTTAGACCATTGTACAACAAAGCCTTCATGGTTGTTGCATGGATTTGTAACTGATTTCATGTTAATTGAAAGTTGGTGGCAAAACTACTTTAATAACCTGTCAATATATGATGGCTAGCCGGCTTTAAGCTGAGACAAGCACAGTTTTCCTTTATGATTATTGAATAATGAATAAGGACGAGTTTTGAGTATGTAATATGTTCAGGATCCTGATATCCGTCCATTAACTGAGCAAGATTCTGACATTCTTCAAAAACTGCTCCCAGAAATACCCCTTTGGATTAAAAATCCAGATTATGATCGGGTAAGTTCATATTTTTCTGTACTAGATGGCATAATTTTTTCAGGAAGACAATTACTATTCCTCTCATAGCCTGTTGTAGTTTAAAATTGCTGTTTCCCTAACTATTTTCCTGCAGATTGATTGGCTGAACAAATTTGTAGAATTAATGTGGCCATATTTAAATAAGGTATGTTTTTCGCACGCTTTGGATGTAGAGCTTTTTTTCCTAACTTTTAAAAGATGTAAAAGATATTTGAAGTATCTTTCATTACTAAACAAGTTCAAATATGTTACATTTTTCTAAAAATGTCACTAATCTTTAAAAGTAATTCTTACCTTACTATTGAAACAAGTAATGTACTTATTTCTAACTTTGATCAATAAAGATATCATTTGTTTAAAACTTATTTACTTACGCGTAAACTTTTTATGCTTAGCCAAACATGCTGGTATATTTGTCTTTTAGACTGAATTTCAACAATTTAAGGTTCTCAGGCAATTTGCAAGACGGTAAAGCAAATAGCAGAGCCAATCATAGCTGAGCAAATTCCTAAATACAAAATTGATTCAGTGGAATTTGAAGTATTAACTTTGGGCTCCTTACCACCTACTTTTCAAGGTTTAAATACTCATTCTCTCTGGGTACAGACACCATAGATGGTTAAAAACATAAACTCACATCAATCCAGCTGTAAATTGTCCAAATGAATTTTTCAACTATGATTTTTATCTGTGTCAATGATTATGGTTTTTATTTTTTTATTTTTTTCTATTATGTATCGTTAGCTAAGAGTATAGACTTGACACTAGTGGTACAACCAGCGTGTGATTCGCATGATTGATTTATTCAGGAAAACTTCCTCTATTGTATTTATACATACATATGATATATCTTTTGCACTCAACCTTGGAAAAATTGTTATGCTTATGCTGGGAAGCTGCGGCTAAACTATTGAGAATAAGGTGGCCCTAAATTTATTGGGAATGAGGCTAAACATATTGTTGTTAAGCTACGGCAACCTTTTTTTCTCATGGCGTTCTCAAGGAAAAAGAAGTAAAAACGAGATTTTTTTTAATTTTTCCCCTCCCATGGTGTGTTTCTGAAAGCACACAACATGTCTTGCTGAATTAGTTTTTCTCTTTGTATTTGTCAATTGCTTCTTCTAACCGTTAAGCTACCACATCATGCCAGGAATAAAAGTGTACTCCACTGAGGAGAAGGAGTTGATAATGGAACTAGCCCTGAAGTGGGCATCTAATCCTAACATACTTGTCGCTGCTAAGGCATTTGGGTTGCAAGCTACTGTCCAGGTGTTATTTCACTCGATTATGGAGGAAAAACTTGAATGATATTTTTTAAGTGCAACAAATTCCTTCTCCACCCCTCTCTGTCTCCTCCCTTGTACTTTGCTCATAATTAGCTTAATTAGAAACCATTGTTGCCCCTCAATAATACCTGATCCAAAATCATTTTCATTGGGATTATTTCAGGTGCTTGACTTGCAAGTATTTGCTTCTCCACGTATCACATTAAAGCCGCTTGTCCCGAGCTTTCCTTGTTTCGCTAACATATTTGTTTCTCTCATGGAGAAGGTGTGCATTGAAATGCTCAATTCTTATTGGTGATATTGTTAAAAGAGAAAAAACCTAATTTTGTTTAACAGGTTGTAAAGAATTTGAATCTTGGGCTTTTGAGATATTTTTCAAACATTATGACTATTGAACCTTTTTGTTATTCAAATAATTGAAAAGATATTACAGCTAACAGATGATGTTCCAATTTTTGGCTGACATACAATTTGTAAGCAATCTAGATAACTATATACTCTCTCTTTCAATCTTTTATCTTAGTACTTGTTGACTGTCAAAAATTTTAGACTTTGCGAATTCTGATTATTTCTCTTAATCCTGACATTGCAGCCTCATGTTGACTTTGGACTAAAGTTGCTAAATGCAGATGTTATGTCCATTCCAGGGCTATATAGGTTTGTTCAGGTATAATCCTGTCCTCCTTTCCTACATTTTCTTTGTCATTTTTTTCCCATTCTTTATTCTTGAGATAGATTTAGTGTAGAATTAAAAAAGCTTCCGTTCATTAGAGTGATGTGATCTCGATGGAATAGTTAGAAGAGGAAGGGGTACACCAAAACTAACGTGACTTGTGGTAGTTGCTAAGGATCTAACTTCTTTAAATTTTCGATCTAGTTACGAGCCAATCAAATGGCGGAAATAGGTTTACGTAGCGGACCCCAAAATGTCGAGAAAAGGGCTTAATATGTTGTTCTTGTTGTATGTTTGAGTTTGAATGCCAAATTTCATTTAGTAAATTAATTTTTGAAAATGCAGTGGTTTGATAAAGAAGATGAATTGGCTTATATAAGTACATTTTCAAAGGCGACAGTTTTCCATTACTTGAAAAATTATGCTCTAAATCATGCTTTGGGGGTTTGATGTTTGTAGTTTTACATTTACAGGATTGGTCTAAGCACCTCCAATTCTCATCTTGGCATACTAGAGTATATATTTTTCAGTACATTCGCTACAATCTTTCTTGCTTCACCATAATTAGTTTTTTGCTTCTTCAGCAATTGATTAAAGATCAGGTCGCAAATATGTATCTATGGCCCAAAAGACTCGAGATTCAAATAATGGATTCTGCAAAGTAAGTCCATATGTAAACCCCACGCTTTTTATTTCAAACAATGTCCAATTGTAGCAATTTTTTTCTAATATCAAACAAATTCTGCTTTGTCAATTGATAGAGCAATGAAGAAACCAGTTGGGATTCTTAACGTGAAAGTTGTCAGAGCCATGAAGCTAAAGAAGAAAGATCTTTTGGGAGCATCGGATCCTTATGTAAAGCTAAAACTTAGTGAAGAGAAACTTCCATCAAAGAAAACAACCGTCAAACACAAAAACTTGAACCCCGAATGGAACGAGGAATTTAATTTCGTTGTCAAGGACCCTGAAGCTCAAGTTTTACAGTTTTCTGTCTACGACTGGGAACAGGTTATTTGTTTCGTTCTCATCATAATTTTACTGAGTTATGATGTCTATTGAATTTTTTATGATCAAATTTAAACAAATCGGCACATCCTCACTTTAATAGCTTAAGCTTCTAGACGAGATGGTTAAATATAGTAGCATATTAAGTTCTGAGTTCAAGCCTTGGCAACACCCATTTATGAAATCCATGCATGTAATGAGGAGCTTCAATGAAAAAATTAATTCGGCCTCCACCTGAGGTGGGCATCTTGAAGATTATGCTTCAAAAAAGTTGATTTTGGGATATTTGTCCAGCCATTTTCTCCCTCTTATTCATTATTGATTCTAAAGATGATGCCATTTATTTAGGTCGGATCACATGACAAAATGGGCTTGAATATTGTCCCGCTAAAAGATCTCACTCCAGAGGAGCCAAAAGTTTTGACTCTTCAACTTCTTAAAAATCCGAACTCAGGTGATGCTCAGAATGATAAGTCAAGAGGACAACTTGTACTCGAGGTCGAGTACAAACCTTTCGATGATAATGAGGCACCGAATGATAATGAAGATTCAAATAACATGCAAAAGGCTCCCGAAGGAACACCTGATGGTGGTGGTTTGCTCGTTGTTATAGTCCATGAAGGCCAAGATCTTGAAGGGAAGCACCACACAAATCCATCAGTCCGCTTACTCTTCAGAGGGGAGGAGAAGAGAACTAAGGTGAACTACAGCAGCATGCATAAAATGGAAATCTGATCTCGGCCTTGCTTTTACAATTATACTTCTCATATTCTTATATTTTCTAGTGTCCAATATGGTGCACTTGACATGAGAAACATACAAGCAAACAACCATTAAAACATTTTTGAGCTACCTTTAGCTAAAGACCATTGAAACATATATAAAAAAATTGAACCTTTGTAATTGTAATGGACAGTCTTGGTTGTGAGTGTTGTGTGGGTAATATTTTAGGTATTTGTTGATGTCTTAATTCTGAAAACTACAAATTTATTATTTATTGCTCTGCAGCCTGTGAAGAAAAGCAGAGATCCAAGGTGGGAGGAGGAGTTTCAGTTCACATTAGAGGAGCCGCCCACTAACAACAGGATTCATGTTGAAGTAGTTAGTACTTCATCAAGAATGGGTCTACGACACCCAAAGGTACAATCTCTCGTGGCTCTAGTTATCCCTTTGCCCCCACTTTTTAGTGCAATTCATGTACTGTGGGATTTTAAACCTCGAAAACATCATGATATCATAGTAGTTCTCTGATAGGAACCTGATTTGTTTTGTAGTTATGATTGAATGAAAACAGTATGAAATTGCAATGAAAGTTAGAAATGAAATTACAATGTTGCTGAACAGCCACTCTCCCCAAATTTCACCCTATAATTTTCTGAATGCCGCTCATAAAACCCCCACACCTTACCTTATTGATGCCTTTTTCCATGAACTCCCCCAAAACTTTAAGCTCCTGTTTGACAATCATTTTTACAAAACTCTTTTTTCTGTATCTCATTTTAACAGAACGTTCTCACGATAAAATATTTTGCGACTAAATCCGAAACATTTTCCTACTTGGTAGAGAGAGATTTCAAGCTTCTTTTTTGAGTGCTTGAGTCTCATGCGCATTACTGTCTTGTTGTAGCTGTAAATTACACCATCACCGAGTTGAACACCTTGTGGCCCGAGCTTGTGCTCCCAGACTCATTGGTGTTGTGCTGTTCGGCTCTGGTTGCTCATGTGGCCGAGCAAACCTCGACCATAAGCTGACTTTTTTAAACGCCATCTCACCCCCCTCATTCTGCTATGTTCATTTTGGGGCGCGACACCTAGGATTTATTTTTCTTGAATATGGATTCTTCATGTTTGAAACATAGGTATTCTTTTCCTAAATGTTCTTGTACTATGATTGTCGGTTAAAGTAAACAATGTTGAAATATTTTGTGCTAGGAAACTCTAGGCTACGTGGATATATACCTCTCGGATGTTGTCACCAACAAACGGATCAACGAGAGGTACAACCTCATCGACTCAAAGAATGGTCGAATCCAGATTGAGATGCAATGGAGAACTGCATAAATATTTGAGTTCAAATAGATAGTAGGCTTGAATGCATAAAATTTGGGATGGATTTTCTTTCTTTTTCTTTTTCTGGGATGCAAATTGAATGAATTTATGATATTGTACTTACAAAGATATCAACAAAGGATTTGAAAACCCCATCCCAAACATTACCTCATTTTCACATAATATTACTAACTTTTAAATAAAAAATTTCCTTTTGGCAATTAAAATAGAGTAATCAGACAGTAATTATTTATTTCTTAAAGTCTCTTCGAATGATAATAAATAATATTAAACCATGAACAAGAATGCCATAAAACACAATAGACAGTGAGATACCACAGAGAAGCAATAAATTTGCCTTTTGTTCCTTTCTACAACGCGTTTTAAGACGGGAAACTAACGACCAATAAATTTAGTATACTGGATCAAGAAGTTATCGAAAATTTTCTTCTATGGATGATGGATCAAAAAATTCTATAAAAATTTGAAAAATAGAAGGAATATATTAACGATATATCCAATAATAATATGTATTAGTACTAGCATGATTAAGTAAAAGAGACCGTACAAATTTTTTTTATCAATTCACATTAAAAAAATTCATAAAGAATTGTTAATATTTTTAACAATGAAATACATTTACTTAAATTGTATTTTTGTGCGATGGTAATTTTATTTGGCCACTGAACTTTAAGTGAAATTTCTATTGGGTCACTCAATTTTAATTTGTCTTAATTTGAACTTCAATTCACTTTCAATGTAAGCCAGTCTATTAGCCCTTGTTAATGTCCCAATCCGAATTTTTTCATGAATACTAAAATTTGATGATAATTCGATATGTTTTACGTTTCTAGTTAAATATGAAAATAAGTGCTACCTGATAATGAATTGTCACATGATGATTAATTTAAAACTTTGCAATCATGACTTAATTAGATAAAATATTTATTATATTGTCGTCAATTTTAACATCCACGTAAGATTGAAATGTTAATTTTAGTAAGAAGGGCTAACAAACTGAATAATATTAAATTAAAATTCAATTACTCGAGTGTGACAAGTTAAGTGACCAATAAAGGTCGAGGAAATTAGCCCCACTACTCTAAAAAAAGCAAACAATTAGATTAATACTCTTAAAACAAAGTAAAACCTTTCACAATCGAAACTAATACGTTAATAAAAGGATGTAATCGAATCAAAAATTGATTATCTTGTAAGTGAATTGGGCTACCCAGTGTCCTCTTTGATACATTTTTCCATCATATATCTCTTATACAATTGAGAGGGTAAAGCTTAGACTTTCATTGTACAAATGGCTTGTAGAAGAAAAAGCAGTAGATAAAAATTTGGCCTTGAGAACTCTCTCAACAAGCTCAGAGAAAAACATAAAAAAATTAAAAAAAATTAAAAAATTGTTAGGACTATTGTAAATTCTCATCTTAGAGGACCTGAAGTTTGGGAAAAATTGAGAAAAAAAAAAGTAATTGAAACAGAATGAACACATATTGTCTCATAGATATGTTTAATGGAGTTGTTTCGAAAGATGTACATTTCTATCGAAGCTCGCAACTGAAGAAGTCTCTGCTTAAGTTAAAAAGTGTGATTTCAGTTGAGCTCCTTTCTTCCTTTACATACTCAAACAGCATACTATAGGAAAACCAGATAGACTTTCTAGTACTAGGTAAATGTATTATGAATTTCTATGTTTGTTTTCTGTCACTTTTTTGAAGTTTGTTTCTTTTTGAGTGTAAAGAGAAATTGAATATGAAGAATTAATTTTCTTACCATTCACTAAATCAAGTTACATGATTTATACAAGATGTTTACACATTAGATCCATAATTTATGGCCTAAGATTAAGCCCTACCATATACAAATTGCCTTCTTATAGCTAATGAAATCAATACGAAGATTGTGTTGATTTCTTTCCTTTAACACTCCCCCTCAAGTTGAAATGTATATTGATTACATTCAACTTGCTAAGTAATGCATCAAATTGTGTCGAACTCAATGGCTTAGTGAACAAGTCTGTTGGTTGATCAGTGGTTCCGATGTATGCTGTTTTAATTACTCCTTTTTGCACCTTTTCACGTACCACATGGCAATCAATCTCTACATGTTTTGTGCGCTCATGAAAAACTGGGTTCGAAGCTATATGTATAGCAGCTTGGTTGTCACAAAATAGTTTGACGGGTTGAGCTTGACACACATTCAAATCTCTCAATATATTTTGCAGCCAAGTTAATTCACAACATGTAGTGGCCATGGAACGATATTCTGCCTCTGCACTTGAACGCGGAACTGTACTTTGTTTCTTTGTCTTCCAAGAGATTGGTGCATGTCCAAGTAGGATACAATACCCAGTCAAGGGTCTTCTTGTGTCTTTACAGCGAGCCCAGTCAGCATCACAAAAAGCCTTTAGTTCCAATGGTCCTTTGGAAGGTAAAAGAATCCCTTGGCCAGGTGCTTGCTTGATGTACCGCAAGACTTTGTGTGCAGCTTCAAGATGAGGTTGTCTAGGCTTGTCCATGAATTGGCTTAATATGTGAACGGTGTACACAAGATCTGGTCTCGTAACTGTGAGATATATTAGCCGCCCTACAAGTCTTCGATATTGGGATGGATCATGTTATAATTCACCATTCGTCTGTGTTAGTGACAAGTTCTGATCAACTGGGAAGCGTAAGGGTTTAGCACCGAGAAAGTCAGTAACTTCAAGAATTTCCAAGGCATATTTCCTCTGACATAATGTAATACCTTGCTTAGACCTTGCAACCTCTATGCCCAAAAAGTATTTCAGTTGTCCCATGTCCTTTAGTTTAAACTGACTTGAAAGAAACTGTTTGGTGTCTGTGATGTCCTCCAAACTATTTCCTGCCAAGATCACATCATCAACATAAACCAGCAATGCTGTGAATCTGTCTGAACGATTTCGGACGAACAATGAATAGTCTGACCAAGATTGATGAAACCCAGCAGATTTGAGGGCTGTTGATAGTTTAAGAAACCACTGCCTTGAGGCTTGCTTTAAACCATAAATGGATTTGTGAGGCTTGCAGACTCGAGTCTCCCCCTTTCGTCCGAAACCAGGTGGAATCTTCATGTATACGTCCTCATAAAGATCTCCATTGAGGAATGCGTTGTTGACATCAAGTTGGTGCACGTGCCAGTCTTGTAAAGCAGCAAGGCTAAGAAGCACACGCACCGTTGTTAACTTGGCAACCGGTGCAAATGTTTCTCTGTAATCAACTCCCTCAACTTGACTGTACCCTTTAGCAACTAACCGTGCTTTGTAACGGTCAATTATTCCGTCTGGATTCAGTTTGAGCTTGTACACCCATTTGCAACTGATTGGCTGTTTATGAGATGGTAGTAGAACCAAGCTCCAGGTGTTATTTGCTTGGAGGGCTTGAATCTCATTATGCATAGCTTCTCTCCATTGTGGAGTTTGGACAGCCTATGAAAAAGAAGTAGGCTCCTTCTGGGTGGAAATATTAGTGGTGAAAGCTCTATGGTTACATGAAAGTCGATCATAGGATAAGACTTGGGAAAGAGAGTGAACAGTACCTATGTCCGGTGGAGTTGATGGTGCGGTTCTCGAAGGGAGGGCTGCCTTAACATGAAAGTCCTGCAAAAAGGTTGGGGTCTTGGTAGAACGTGTTGACCTACGTGGGGGCAAAGTTTGTGTTACTATCGTGGGAGAAGAGATAGGTAAGGCAGTTGGTGGTTGTGATGGTGTAGTTGGGTCAATGATGGGATGACTTGATAAATCAGTAGTGGAAGGGAGATCTGGTGGAGTGTTTTCAAGCAGTGGGACTCTAGAGTTGGAGGGAGATGAGAATAAAGGTTCAATATCAAATGAGTGTGAGGGTGTTAGGTTTTGGAGGATGGACGCATCAGTTTGAGAAGTCGAGTGAGGGTTTGACTGGAATGGAAAAGTGTCCTCAAAGAATACCACATCTCTTGAAACAAAAACTTTGTTTTCCATTATGAGGATAACCTAAGAAGACACATTTAGTTGCACGCGGATCAAATTTGGTGGGTTTGGAAGGGTGAGTTGATGTGAAACACAAACAACCAAATACTCGTAAATGAGAGTAATTCGGTGGTTTATGGAAAAGCATTTCAAAGGGTGTTTTTCCTTGAAGAAGTAATGTGGGAGTTCTATTAATGAGATATGCTGAAGTAAGTATGGCATCTCCCCAAAAACGTTTAGGTAAGTTGGCTTGAAAAAGAATTGCTTGAGCAACATTGAGCAAGTGCCTATGTTTGTGCTCAACTACACCATTTTGTTGTGGTGTGTTGATACAACTAGTTTGATGAACTATCTCTTTTGATGAGTAAAAATGTTTGAGTGTAAACTCGGGGTCATTGTCACTACGCACAATTTTCACTTTCTTATCAAATTGAGTTTCAACCAAATGAATGAAATTGATTAGGTGGTTTTGTGTTTCTGATTTATGTTTCATCAAGTATACCCAAGTGCACCGAGTATAATCATCAACTATGGTAAGGAAATATTTTGCACCAGTAAGCGAAGGTTCATGATAGCCACCCCAAACGTCAACATGTATTAAATTAAAAGAAGACACACTTGAGATAGTACGTAAGGGAAAAGACATTCTAGTTTATTTTGCCAAAGGGCAAATAGGACACTGATTTTCATCACATGATTTATTTGCAGAAAAGGGAAATAACAAGGAAACTTTGATGGAAGGATGATCGAGCCGTTGGTGCCAAAGGTTGGGTGTCTGACGGTGAACTGAGTTGCATGTTCCTTTCTGTATTGGATTGAGGCAATAGAAGTTCCCGTCCCAATCATCTCCCCCGATCGTAGGTCCTGTATGAAACAAAAGTGTCTGAGAAAGATAGTGATATAAAATGAATCAAGTGCTAGTTTACTAATAGAGATCAGGTTCAAATAAAAGAATGGCACGCATAGAACTTTGTGTAGAATGAAATGAGGAGTGAAAACTACTTTTCCAATATGGGTGACTTGAGTCGTAGTACCATCTAGTAATTTGACAAAACGATTGTGCACAGGTTTTAAATAGGTAAGAAGAGAAGGAGCATAAACTATGTGATCACTAGCACCACTATCCAATATCCAAACATTTTTCTTGCCATTTTGAGTGATAGAAAAAGCTTTACCTGAGAGTTCATCA